GGTCCCCATTTTCACCGGAACAGGCCATTTAACCATCCAAATGATTTCTAAACGGGTTTATTAAGCTGAAAAAGTTGCCAAGTTCCCCTTTAAGCACCAGCGGAGCCTTGACCCCTGACGATATTCACAGGGTCACTGGAGGTCAGCTGATGGAGTTTACCTTGACAGTAAGGAAGGCGATGTTGTCGAACTCTTTTACGAAGCCGCCGACCTGCCGACCGTCTTCATCATCGTAGAGCCACGGACGCCTCTGAACCTCCACCTGACAGACACACCCGGTTAATACACCTGAGACTGCCTGACGTCACACTTAAGTTGGATAAGAAGATATGGATTGGATTACCTGCTGGTTAAGAGACTCAACAAACCACTCGTCCCCCATGAAGTTACAGGCCATGTCCACGTCCCCGTTATACACCAGGACCCGGTACTTCTGCAGAAATAATACTTTCAACAAGGATACACCCCACACACCTGGATAACCATCAAGCCACACCCACCTGAACCGATCAGCCAATCAGTGGCCAGACATTGTTCAGTGAGGGAACGTAGTAAAAAATGTTAAAACTGTGTCTGGTGAGAACTAACAGCCGTGTACACTGACCAGAGCAGAGAGCAGCTTCAGGTACTGTTTCCTGACGTCCATGTAGAGTCGACCGTATTTCAGATTGACCTCAGAGCTGCAATACAAACCGGAGGTCAGAGGGTCTTATACAGGTGTGTAATGAGACAGGTGTTTAGTTTAGCAGGTGTAAAGTTTTCAGGTGTATTACCTGCAGATGACCCAGTCCAGGGCCTTGGGGCTGATGTGCAGGGCAGCTCGGACGTACAGGTTGTTCAGGTAGAGGGAAGAGGGGGTGGAGTTAGTGCAGGGGGGGTCCAGACGGACAGACAGGTGGAGGGATGCCAGACCTCGTACCTTCTGTTCACACAGTCAGAGAAGAACCTGGTTTCTAACAGTGCGTCAGGTGAGTTAGCTTTACCTGTAAGATGACGTCATACGCACCTGGTTCCAGACCCGAGTCCACTGATTGTTGATGAACGAGTTCCCCAGATCTCTGATCACCAGCTCACCTTGTTCAATACTGATAATCAATAACAGGAAGTCAATCTGAGGCCATACCACACCTGCCACAGGTGAGCTATAGACTGAACACACCTGTGGTCACACCTTACCTGAGCCTTTGGCGGACTCCACCTGGACAGGGTGCGTACAGGTTGTACATGTTCAGTCCTGAACTGTAGACAATGTCCTGAACCTGGCCCAGCTGCAAAGGAAACACAAACACCTGAGATACCTGAAAGACCTGGTTCAGACTAGCTGAACATATAAGACCAGTTGGACCGGTTCAGACTTACCGTAGCTGAGCAGTTCTGGTCCTGGTTGTCGTAAAAGTTGCACTTCCCGCCACTGCAGCAGAACGCCTGTAGGTCGCTCCACAGGCGACTTCCCAGCAGGCCGTGGTAGTACGCGAAGTACACCAGAGAGTTATCGTTCAGCTCGTAACTCGACATCCCGTTACCCACGGCAACGCCCTACCCAGAGTGAAACAGGTGAGACAGGTTGTTAACATTGCACAAGCTAACAGTCGTCTGACACAGTACCCCGAAATACTGCAGTACCTGCAGGTTGAGGCTGGCGTCCTCCATAACTCTTTCGGCGAGTGTCGGGATGTAGATTCCTCCATAGCTCTCTCCGGTCAGAAAGAGTTCGTTCTTGTTGAACTCTGGAAACAGACGGAAGAATTCCTTCAGAGCCAGGTAGTTGTTCATCGACACCTGAGGAGAAACACATGTTGACATCTAAACGCCTGTGAGCCAATCAGAGTTCCAGCGACGTCACTGACCTCTGTGTCGTTTGTGGCGTATTTCTGATCGTCAGAGTACGAGAAGCCGACTCCTACTGGAGACTCCAGGTACAACACGTTGGCAATCTGCTTGGAAACAGTGAACCAATCAGCCTTCAGGAGTTACAAATACACTGAACATGTGACCAAACCACCTAACTAACTGGACGGCGTGCAGGTGACGGATTAACTGACCTTGTTCCACGAGTATGGGTTATACTGCAGCGTCACTCCGTCATCCTGGATCTGAAATCAGAGGTCAATAAGTGTTGCTGTGACATCACACTGATGCAGGTGGGAGGAGTCAGTGGAGGTTACCCACCAGGAAGGGTCCGTGTTCAGTCAGCAGTCCGTCCAGAGAGCTGCAGCCAGGACCGCCGTTCAACCACAGCACCACCGGGTCAGAGGCCGGGTTCTGCTGGGACTCCACAAACCTGAAACAAAAACACACCCAGGTGGATGTTACCACCAACACTCAGGTGAGCTCAAGTGGACAAGTCAACACACAGTTGTACTCTAGTAGATCCAACGCTCAGGTGGACTGAGGATCGGGTGGATGTACAGGTGTTGTATTGCCGACACATCAGGTGGACGTACAGACACTCAGGTGAATGTGTACTCGGGTATATGCAGGTGATGACTAATGCTCAGGTGAAATAAATCAGGTGACGAGTGATTTATCTCAGTTAAGTGTTAGGAAGGTAACTCACCTGCGTTTGTTTTGGCTCTGTACTACAGGTAGGGCATTAATCTAATCGCAACGTCACCCTGTGCGACTTAATTAAATAAAAAGGTGTCATGAGTGTGACACTCTTTCCTCTGTGTGCTCTTTGCTCATTATCCACAACCCCAAAGATATGAGTCGGTCTCTGGAGAGACTCATATTGTCACATGATTAACAGTGTAGACCAGAAGGTGCACACAGAAGATAACGAGCAGGAGAAACAACTGAAAGTCAGGGTAAAAACCAAACAGCGTCTCGGTCTCAGTCTCGGTCTCAGGTACTGACCAGTAGTGCAGGTGTTTTCCATCGGCCACGTTCAGGTATCCAGAGTAATGTCTGAAGCTCGGCTGTTTCTGCAGACCGGGCAGGTAAGTGACTTCGTCTGCCGCTGGTGCCGCATCGCCTCCAAGCAGAGACAACAGGAAGTAACACAACACCGCCACCTGCATCTGAAACACAACAGGAAGTAACATCAACACCGCCACCTGTGTGGCGCTGCACATTCGAGCACTGTTAGGGCAGACTTCTTGCCCTGTCTCAAGCCCCGCCCACTCTTTGAAAGTCTAATTTGACTGGCGATAAGTGTAAATTCATACAATAAGAATACTGCATTGATTGATTATCTGTTAGGATCATAAATCCTCCGAGCAGTCAAACAATGCTCTTGTGGTTGTAAAATAAAAACACATAAATAGTCTGTCATTAACTAACCTGTGA